GTCTTTTCACGTGTGTTATGAATAAATCTTCTTTTTTTCGGTACCGGTACTTTTATTTTGTTGTATTTATCCGCGACACCTTAAAGGCCGGTCCGTGAAAATATTGTCGGGCATAAACCGGTCCGTGGCGCAAAAAAGGTTGGGGACCGCTGATCTACAGTCCTTCGGGGTCGTCCTCTTGTGCACATCTGGATCTTATCCTGCACTGCTGCTGACCCTACTTTCAAATTATCATTTGGGGCCCTTAGCTTCAGCACTGGGGCCAAACACCAGTTATCAGTGGAAATACACTCTGTGTAGTCCAGGAGGTCAGGAGTGCAGCCAGGATGTTCACGAGGAGTGAAATTTTCCGAACGTTTAAAAGGTTAAACGCAGTAAATCTTTTGTTCTGTTGTCGTTTAAGCACATAAAGGATTAAAGACGGTGACGTCGCCTCCTGAGGGTCAGTTGTTTCTTGGCATTTCAAGGGTTAAACATTGTAAATTTGTCACTCAGCCAGATTTAGCTCCTTGGAAATCCATCGTCAGCCCCAAAATAACTGGTGGATACATGGAGGTGCATATATGAGGTTGAATGGTCCTCGGACAGAGAATGGAAGTGTTCCAGATGTGCACAAGGAGACTGCATTGAATGGGATATCAGACAAATTTAAGTCGAGTTTGATTTTTATCTGTGGAGTCCTGGAAATATTTGATGAGTAATCACCATCACTTACCATGATGACCGAGGCCCAGCTGTCTGTCCTGGCTGCCTAATTTCACGGGGGTACAGTTCCCCGTCGAACACGTTCATATACAGTCTGCAAAACTGGAGCCATCCAAATTCCAACATACCTAATAGAAGCACAGTCTGTACTTTCTGCCTTTTGTAAATCTGAACCACTTTATGTTTCGACAGCAGTGAAACGTCGAGGGCTTCTGTGACGGCTGTTACTGTAGATATGCGGAGAAAGCACAATTTTTTTTATACCTGTAAATCTGTTACCCGTCATACTCGTAAACTTAGTTTGTGTCGTATGTATACGTACATGAATTTTCCTTTTTCCCACAGACGATTGGGAACGAAGCTAATTTCTTTTCTTCATCTTTTGCCTTCAGCTAAGTGGCGAAAGCATCCACGAAGGACTTAAAGTGACGTGACATAGTGTATTTATTCGGCAGTTAATGCGGATGTACTATTTCATTCATGAGCTATTTCCAGATTTTATAAAGCAATGACGCCTGAATGACGCCGTTAGCAGGTAACACAACACTTTGTCAAATATTTTTGAATATCTGTAAATCACAGTGTGCACTTTAAACCGAACAAACGATTCCGCTCTGTGTCGCTGTCACTCGGTTTAGCTCAGGGTTTGGGGGAGGACCGTCAAAGTCAACTTAAATGAATGAAATAGGCCATATTTATTAACTGTGCAGTACCTTGATCACTTGATAGTGTAGTATACGAATGCAGAAATTACTTCAGAAATGTTCTATTATCTTGCACATATATAAAAATATACATGGATTTGGGGATATTTGTATTCACTATATCTAAGATATTAAATGTTGATATATTTCAGAGTATGTGTATGCAGATATATGGGTACCATAAATAAAATATTTGTTTTTTCACTGGGTATTTCTCGTGTTTTAATTGATACGTTTTAAAATAAGTGGACATATTATATGTCATGTTTGCTCATGTTTGCACTATCCACTAGATGTCACCAGTTATTTGTTGTTTTTCTGATTTGCTCGGGCTGTTTTGACCAATTCAAGTGAAACTTGATATTTGTCTGCAGGTCGGCTCTGCAGGACTCAAAAAACCAAATAAACCCAGAAGAAAAGCTCATTAAACAAAAGCTAGAAGCACAATTTGACACGATGACCGACTGTAAAGCCCAGTGGGAACCTCATTACCGAGACAATGAGTGGATGTTTGCCTCGCATATGAAACAAAAGTAGACAAATTGCTCCCGAGTGCGTCCGTTATTTGTTTGATGTGTGTTTATAGATGATGACGGTCTGACGAACCCAGCTGTGCCACAGTCCCATGATCCCTCATCTCGCACAGCTTCCCGTTCCGTCTTTTTTCAGCTGACTGAAAGCAAGGTATGTGGTAACGCACAGGGAAAGGGTTGGTGTCGAGAACGAGAGAGGCTTTTGTGTGTGTGGGGGTGGGTGGCTGCCATTGGGGAAAACCCACTCTGAGCTGAGGCTTCTGTGGGCCTCCACCTGACACAGCACTCGGCAAGAGGCAGAAAAAAAGCAGGAAATTCCCCTCCGCTTGTGTGATCCAACAAAGGAAGTATTTGCTGGCTGTGGAGGAATTTCATAGCAGCTTTTGCCAATTACAGTGTGTGTTTGTGTGTGTGTGTGTGTGGGCTGCAGCGCCAGCTGGATAGACTTCTAACTATTAGAAGAGACCACTCTCTGTAGTTTTCTGCATTTTTATTCTTTTCACAACTTATATAAATACCTTTAAAGCCCCGGTCCCAGTGATTTAAATACAAATAAATACAAATAAATACATACAAGCTATGACAGCACCTCTGTATCTGAACTCTTGAGCCAAAGAGCCTTGTCATCATCTGATACAGCAGAGGAAATCTAGCCTAATACAATCTCCGGTCAGTATAAATAATACGTCAAAAGTGCCTAAAGTAGAAACAATGTTGCAAACTGTTACAGTTTATATAGTTTTAAAAAATCAGCCTAGCGTTTTCAGCTGGGATTCATCTCCATTGAGATTTCAGTATTTAAACATCACCATGTGGATGAAATAAAAAACTATATGTTCACATAGTTTTTAAGCTCCATGCAGCTTTTCTGCTCAGAGCAGAGAGTCATCTCAAAGTGCAAACACGCCAAAGAAGGTCCTTCCTTCGTCAGTCTCCAGCTCCGATAGCTGGTTGGTTTCTGTCCACAGCGTGTCTCCTTCGTTCAGCTGAAACACGGCGCCCAGGTAAATGGCGTTGTACCAGCCGTGGTCTGAGAAGCTATCCTGAACGGTGTCTTGGCATGCCGACCTCAGGGCGCTCATCAGAGTCGAGGGGCTTCCCACGGACTCTGAGTAGCGCGAGATCCTGTGGCTGAGAATTGTGAGGCTTTTTTCCTCGTCTTCATCGTCGTCGCTATTCCCGCAGATCACCCTGAAGGATGCCTGGCTGTAGACGAAGTACAGGCCGGTGTGTGGGATGATGATTTTGTTGGCCTCCAACTTGAAGCCGCCCTGAGCGAACGCCTGGCCTTGACCGTTCCTCCACTCCAGACGACCTTTTGAGTCGCTGCCTGCAAGTAAAGATCAGAAACGTTACAGCCTTGAAATACCGGAGTGTGAATTACTGACAGGTTTGTTATTTGGAGAGCAGAAGGAAGTATTGACTGAAGCTAATGAATGACTTATGGGACTTCCTTATAGTGCTCTTGGTTTCCAAAAAGAAGAGAGCTACCGATATCACAGAGGGAGAAGAAAAACTCAGAAAAGCTCCTTTGAAGGCTGAGATTATGAGCCTATTGTTTGCTGAGGACCAAATCAAGGTAAGCGGTGACTCACCTTCTAGGTGGATGGCTGCCTTGGCTTTGCTGCTGATCCATTTTAGCGTGGAGTGGGGCTCTGAAGGAAGGAAGAAAAATGTGAGCTCAAAGACTTAAATGTAGCTCTCAAAACCTCTCATAAGCACCCATGTGTATAATCACCTGGTTTTTCGCCAGTGTTCTTCGCCTTTAGAGCTTCTGGCTGTCCTAATTGTGTCTGCATGGAGGAAAAGAATCCTTAGATACATATATAGACAAACACAGAAGGTTTTAAAAGACTTTTCATCATACTCGAAAAGATGAGATGCTCCTTACCATCCTTTCTGGCCTCGTATTCCAGTACCAGGCAAACAGCAGGACACCTGCTAAACAAAGAGCCACGACGACGAGGACGGCGCACACCTTCCATATCCACTCTGCAGGTGATTTCTTCTCAACTAAAACTACAGTCTTCGCCTCCGGACCGGCCTCGACATCAACCGGTGCGGTTGTGTATGCAACCATGCTGTGCACAAAGCCTCTGCCGTGTGATCTGTAAAGAAATCCAGAAACCGAACAGCTGTCCGTGTCTTCTGTGCCGACACTTCTCTCTTTGAGTGTGCTGTTTGTGTTAAGAGTGAACTTCTGCTGGAGAGTGTGTAGTATTTATGCAGCTGCAGGGGAAACTCCAGTGATGTCACCGTGTAAGTGGAGACAGCGCAGCAGCAACAGCGGTGGCAGCAGCGCAACCGGGGTCATGGAGAAAGGAGAGTGAGAGGGAAGGAAAAGTCACAGAACATTTAGCGGAGTGTCACCGCAGGAGTTATGGTTTCAGGATGGGAAAGTGGTTGATGGCGACTTTTGGTTTTCTAAAAAAATTATATACACAGATATTCAGACACACACACGATGAGAGACAGACACAGAGTTGCACCACACTGTGTCTGAGGTTAACTCGTACAGCTCACCAACATTTTGAGGTCAGAAAAGCGACATTATAAATAAACAACCCCCACCCCACCGTGACTCGTGTAAATTATTAGTAAAGGCTTCACAGTACACTGACATAATAGCTTATCTCCAAATCAAATCTACACATTTTTCTCTGGCATGTAGTGCAGCTCTAGTAACTAGAGTGTTTTGGTTGCTCAGAGACGTCTAGCTCGCCTTTACCGTGTATTTCACAGAAGTATTATTTTGCTCAAAGCTCTTTTGAGAAACAGGAAGCCTTTCACTCAAAAAAAGTACATTTATGTTGTTGTATTCTTTTTACCCATAGACTGTATATAAAAGATGGCCACAACTACCACAAGGTCTCGTTTTTGTAGGTTTTTGTCAAGCCATAAGTGGCCATTATTTGCCCAGAGGGCGGTGTGCTAACATCCGAGTTTAAACTAAACCGCTTGCTTACCAAACTACCTCTAGTGGCCATTAGAGAAACTGCAGTTTTGCAGACATCATTTTTGTGCCACAGAAGTTGCATGTTATTCTTGCTGTACCAAAAAACATGCACAAAAGCCACGAGTGTGTAAATGGTAAATGGCCTGTATTTGCTTTACTAGTCCCTAAGGACCCCAAAGGGCTTTACACAACCAGTCATCCACACATCCACACACTGGTGAAAGCAAGCTATCACAGCCACCCTGGGGCGCACTGACAGAGGCGAGGCTGCCGGACACTGGCGCCACCGGGCCCTCTGACCACCACCAGTAGGCAACGGGTGAAGTGTCTTGCCCAAGGGGCTCAAACCGGCAACCTTCCAATTACAAGGCGAACTCCCAACTCTTGAGCCACGATCGTAGAGGACACGTCTGTTTACACACGATACGAGGCTTGTTCTTGTGTGACAGGACGTAAACACTGAACCATTCTTGCCCAGCTGACCCATGATGCTAGCTGAATACATCTGTTTTGGTTGTTGGATGCAGAAAGTACATAATTGCTACTTAAAAATGCCAATTAAAAAGGTTTAATTGGCATTTTGAGCACCTTGCAGCAAAAATGTTGCCATGCAGAGAACTCATTGTCCACAACAGCAACGTTTCCTATGAAGAAATTTGATATATTTTTAGTTCATTTTCTATTACATCATCCTACAATATTTACACCTGGCTGGAACTCTTTTACAGTGTGCTATAAATCCATAAATGCTAAATATAGGTGGCGCGCTGAAGTGTTGTTTTACTACTTTATCTTTACAGCACGAGTGGAAGTTCAGCAACTGAAGTATAACCATGATGAGAGGCACATACAAAACGTCATATGTGATGAAAGTTCAAAAGTCATTTGAGTGTGTAGAAATTTGAAAGTAGACACACTACAAACAAAACACCTGGATTATAAAGTGAAACAGACGTTTAAGTGATCCATTTCTATATGTCATACGTGAAGTATCTTCTGGGGTTTTGGAAGACTTTCTCTTTTTTTCCTTGACATATGGTGTTAACACAACATTTGTTTCTGAAATTACCTCAGTTTAAAAAAAGAAAACTGAAGCAGAGAAAGAAAAAAAAAACTTGGCAGCTCTCTACTTTCTCTTTCAGAACTGAGAGGTGATGCAACTCAGTTCAAGCCGCTCCACAAAGCATCTTTTTACACTTCTCCTTCTTCGTCTTGCTGTTCCCATTTCACTTTCTCGACTGACTTTCTTTGTTTGAGACATAACGGCCAAGTGTGGGCTTTTTATCTTCACGTGCCACAAATGTCCAGCGAGTTCTGTTTTCATTTGGCTGTGTTTTTCTTAAACACTTGTCTGGTTTCCCTTGTACTGTCCCGATTGCTGTTTGTTTTGTCGGAGCAACAGAAGCAACGCGGTTTTAAAGAAGCAGTGAGGATTTGTCTCGTTTGAAGCCATCTTCTGTGTTTTTGATAAACTGCACATTATGAATGATCACGTTGTTTAGTCAGTATCAGAAAAAACTTAACAAAACATAAAAGTAGAAACCTGCGAGGCAAAAGTGGAAACACCAAAAGGCGCAGTTCCTCTAATGGCCACTAGCTGCAAAAGTAGGTAAATCCCCACAGATTCACATGATGAAATATTTCAACACGTTCTCACTCCCAAAGCGT